CCCTGGTGGATGATTTACCAGAAAAAGGGTTCTGCATTCCAATAATGAGATATTGATCGAAGCATTAAATCTGCGTGACCAGTGATGTGATTATTAGCACAATAATGCAGAAGCTGTGAAGGTTTCATAAAGGCGTGTAATGCGTCTTTATGAGTCTTTAAGGTCACATCTCTGCTGTGCTGCAGTCCACCAGCTGTTGATTGATTGGACTGGCAGAAACGGCAGGCATAGAGGCACATAAGGAAAGCTGTGCCACAAGGGCCCCATTCTATATCAAGACGTTTAATGTTTATTTTTATATCAATGAAGAAGTCATTTAAAGTTTCACTTATAGTACTTCTGTATGTTACTACACTGAGAACGAAGTTCATACACCAAGTTATATTTCTGGATTTGTGGAAGTGATACTGTACATTGGTACTCAATATTGCAACAAACATGTTCATGTACGATATCTATGATGCAGATGAAACTAAACTGTCGCCAGGTATATGGCAAGTAGCGTCACTAAGTTTTATCTATTCACATTTAATTAGTTCTCATGTAGCAATTACTGCATTTGCAGTAATTCACCCATATATCAATTTTTATGGCAGAGCACTAAACCAGTCTAATTATTAAAATGAGTGCCCTGTTTCAACTGCAAAGGACTGATGACTCTGCTTTATGCCTCAGTCACACCAGAGCAACAATAAGACAGCGACTTACTTGCAACTGGGGGGGTGGGGGTTCCATCAAATCTGTACATTCAGCAACCAGTTGGAAGTCGCTGGTTACCCAAAAGCTGAGTGAGCCACATCTATCAATGTGAACTAGGGGAAACGACTCAGCTATTGCCATTTGGTTGGAGTTTGGTTATATTCCTATAATAAAAGCAATGCTGCTGTGTCTGTCGTTTTGCAGTTACACTGTGTTCCTACAGCACCTACATAACTATTTTGTGTTTCTGTTGCAGATTTATGCGGTTCCGACTGGTTTCTGAATGTAAGCAGTTTGAATTTCTGTGTATGTAACAAGAGCCTTGCAATTTCACAGATTTATCACAGTTCATTGCTGTATTATCATAAAGACACTGCATTTAATAACCACTGACAGAAGACTGACTCCATCTTTTTTGCTTTTCCATTGCCATTTCGAAACACCAAGCTGCTTTCAGAACAGTAACTGACTGCCGAGTGGTTGCAAACCAGACTGCTGTCTTCAAAGCAATTCTTTCAAAACATGAGAAGACTGTAAGTTCATTACACATGGATCTTGCTGTAGTCTCTAACAACTGTTTTACCTAGTGAGACTGTAGCATAAGATACAGAAGAAACTATAAGCTGTAGATTACATAAATATAATCTAAAATTGAAAGCTGTCATAGCACAAATGTTGAGATTTTGCAGCAAAAATGTAGAGCTCTAAAGTCCAAGGTTTCCTAAAGCTCACAAATACATGAAGGAGTTCTCTTACACAGTTTCTTGTTCCTTGAATAATTTATTTTTTCTCCCTGTGCGAGCCATAAGTTCTGCACTAGTTTTTATTAATAAAAAAAAAAAAGATATGGCCTTCCAAATGTTTTCATCTTTCCTTTCAATATAACCATGTTTACAAGTACTACTACTACTAAAAACCTTAACATCATTTACTCAAAACTGTGGTAGAAAAAACTAAACCGCATAAATTTGCATTGTTATGCTAATCCTATGTGAAGAATATAATAATAATAATAATAATAATAATAA